ATAGAGGCAAACTGAGGCCAAGCTCACTGCAGCTTTCTGCTGGAAGAACTCAGCTCTCTAAAACCGAGCTAGAGATGCTCCAATCAAGCATTTTGAGTTCAGATCTGACTCAAATCTCTGGATTTATAAATTTGACAACTGCTTTTAGTATTGGTGTTGTTGCAGTGAGTATCAGCAGCTCTGACATTGTTCTTTCCTGCTGTTAATTGTATCACAGAGACTTTGCAACACTTTTTTGGATGAAGCCCAAAAATTAAAACAGCAAAAACATCTATCAAAAAAATGACCTTCAGAAGTAGAGAGCAAGATTTCTGCAAGTTTCAGTCAGTTAAATTGACTGAAACTTGCAGAATTCTTTAAGATTGGAAGAAAATCAAGATCTAAATTTAAGACGGAAAACAATTATAAAAAATCTAATTGATAAATTAACCTAATAATTTATTGTACTCATAGTTAATATGTAATGTTGGAGGGCACGACATGCAACAGTTTCAGAGTCTGAACTCATTCTAGGGTTTGCAGAGAAAAGTGGATTTCCAGTGGGCAAGAGGCGGGGTGTGCCCTGGAGAGGTCACCAGTCACAGTGCAACACTCACACACACAACAAACAACTAATCACACACAAACTCGAACCTAACGGCAATTTAACGGGACCACAAAATCCCATATGAATGTCCATGGATTGTGGGAAGAATCATAAGTCCTAGAATAACCTATGCATGTATGAAGAGAACATGCAAACTCCATGCAAAAAGGCCCTGACAGATTCATCATGCAGCCCAAATGAATATTAATACTTTTGACACTTTTCTTTCCTCACCATTACAAGTTATCCCCTCTACAGTCCTAGAGCTTTAGCTTTTCAGCACTGGTGCAGGCATTTATGTCAGTTTGTCCATCCGGCTGGTCAAATTAAAAATATGCAAAGTATGAAATGTGTATATATATCCAAGATTTTATTTCTTGTTATCCTCATGACTATAGCTTGCATGTGTAAAAACTCACAAGTACAGTGGGTTTCACAGTCATTGACACAAGACAGTCATCAACACGCTCCTCAAGGAGCATAAGACGCAAATAGTCATTGATGAAGAAGTTGTTTTTTTTAGACTTGTGTCATTTGTAAATGAATGTATTCATAAAAACAAACATTCATTGTACAAGGAAATGTGTGATACAAAAGGTGCACCACCAACAAGGATAAAAACAGACTTCAGATAATTATTTAGTAAAATTCATTCAGGCAAGAGAGGACTGAGAACAGAACCAGTGCTTTAAGAGATGCTATAAATAGACAAATCTTTCACACGGCTACAAATGTAGCATCAGTTGTGTCAAGCTAGTCCTGAAACACAAATGCCAGAAGCCTCTAATTTGGGCTAAGGAGACAAACAACTGGACTATTGTTCAGTTGGCTCAAACCCTCTTTTCTGCATAATGTATGATTTGAATTTAATTTGGAAATATAGAAGAATTGTGGAAAGACACAGCATTCACATTGCTTAAAGTCCAGTGTAAAGTTTAAACAGCACTCCACAATTTTTAGGGTGCCATGACATCTGCTGGTGTTGGTCCGATGATTATGTCCATGCCACGCTGCACTGAAGCAGTAATTCATGCAAAAGGAGCTCTGAAGAAGGATGTGGTTGTTCAGGGATTGTATAGTTGCAGATGCAAGTAGATGGCACTAAAAGTACAACATGAAATTCTAACCACCATATGACACTGAAAGTTTCTTATGGAGCTCTACTTTTGGTATTAAAACAGACTGAAAGTCTGGGAGACTTTGCTTTTCAAGATCTTTTTTGTCTTCACTACAAGTCCTCTCACCCAGCAGCTAATGCAAAGGCAGTAAACAATTAGTTAGATGTTGCTGAATTGGTCTGGTTTGTCTGCTTCACTTGTTACTAATTTATCACATGTATTGGACAGCAGGTATTGCAACAATCTATTTTTGGCAGGGCAGCAAAAAAACAACAAAACAAAAACAACAAAAAACAAACACACACACACAAAAAAAAGTTCACCTCACTTTTTTCAAGCATCGGCCCAGAAAACACTAAGAAGCTCTCTGAAATTAATACAGAATTTTATATGTAAATGCAACAACTACAGCAACTTGTCCAATTCCTCCTCTCCTGAAGGTTTTAGAATTATCTTACTATAGTTACTGCATCAGTGATGTAATTTATTAGCTTTTTTTTTAGCACTTGTACAATACTTAAGAGGTTTGCTTTTGAATATTTCATCAAAGTTGTGAAATGACCTTTTCATTTAGTGAAATTAAAAAGTCATTGAGATACTCATGGGACACTTATGAGCAGTTATGAGCAGTATCTCATCTGCTCATAAAAAAGAATGAATGCTGGGTGCATTGTGTGTTCAGGCTGCAGATTGTAATTTATACCTGACAGGTATGTAATTCAAAAGACATCGAATGCGCTGGTAAGACTGACACATGAATGACTACAACTACTGTTGTGCTTATCAAGTTTTTTTTTTCTTAAAGTGATATACATTTGCTATATTATCCACCATAACCTGAGTCGAAATACCATTCCCATTGGGTCTCATGCTTATACTGAATAGGAACAGGCCCATCTCTACTCACCAGATACAATTGGTTGCATGACATCAGCAACAGCTGTGGTAAGTTGATCAAGCAACTCAACACATGACAGCAAATCATTTTCCCAAAAAAGGGATCTGAGTAACAGTAGTTCTTTGCAGGATGTGAGGTGAGGGTGTATTTTTTTTTAAAAAAAGGAAAAGAAAACAGCTGACATATAATTTTTTTAAAATTATAAATCAGTTTATAATTCAAAATTATAAGATGGTCATGGAAAGGTTTTATTTTTAGAGTAGAATTTCAGTAAACATAGGGAGTTGTAATGAAAAAAAGCATGCATTCTTCTGAGTTTACTAAATGGTCAGTGGAAAATACCCGGAATACATACGTAATGTGAGCAAGAATTTCTGGATTGTACATGGGATCAAAGTGTCAATAGCTGTGAGGCGAGTCACATCAGGAAGCACCAGCCTTAGAGCAGGTCCATATACAGACAGTGATGACTCATGCGCAGATAATCTTCCACACCACCCTATCAGGACTGTTCGGGAGAACCCAATCTCTAGGCATGCCTCAGCACTAACAGATCTCAAGGCTCTCTAAGAGAAACAAAAAAAGTCTGAATGAAACTAAACACTCTTGAACACGCAGAAAATGCACAATAAAGACAGCAGAAGAACTCGTGTGACGATCAGAGTGCTTGCAGTCAGTCAACCATCAACAAGTAGGGAAGCAGCGTTCGGTATTGGTGCTGCAAGTCTAAACCTGCCACCGCAGGCCGGGGCGCTTTGACTGCCTGAGCGGCGCCCCGCGCGTGCAGCCCACCATGGTAACGCTGCTATGATTGTGTAACAGCACGAGCACTGAACTTGAAATGTAAATTGACATCATTACAATCACGCTATGTGTGACGCAGGGGAAGAGCCTTGATTCTTTTTCCAAGGAGTGGTTTCTTTCCTTTTTGTTTGTTTGCTTTTTTTTCTCATTGATTCCAGATTACCGTGAATCTAAAAAAAATAAAAAAAAATACAAATACAAATAAAGTTGCTCCTTCATTAAACAGGAGGCTAAAATATATGTACGCCGAACACAGTCTGTGCAAAAAAAACAAGCACAAAAACACCTGTGGTCCTATTAAGCATCAAAGAGAGAGAGAGAGTAGAGATTTCCAGCTAAATTTGCTTCACATTTAAAGTTGAACAAAAAACACTATGATTTTTAGCGAACTTCAACAGAGCAACTTTAGCCACACAAATAATAAAACTATCCATTAACAAGTCAGGGACAGCAAAAAAATTGGTAACACTTAGCTGCAGGTTATCTGAAGACTTTGTGTACTGATTAAAAAAAGAAAGCAGGAAAGACATGTTGGCTAGCTAGCCTTCCACCTGGCAAGGTTACATTACACAAAGCTAGCTAAAGTTCTTCCTCCTCTTCCAGCAAGGCGGTGGAGAAAAATATGCGCAGCTGCTTGCAAAACAACACAAAAAAGACCCTTACCTGCTTTAGATAGAGACATTTCCCCTTTGCTTTGATGAGGGGGAAGGGAAGCACAAAGACTTTTGCCTTTTTTTCTACTCCCTCCCTCCCTGCATCTACTCTTGTACCCGCTCAGAAACGCTGCTTCGCGGGTGCAAAGATCTAGCCGCGATCAAAAAAAAAAAGTAGGCAATTTGCCTTAGTGCAAATCTAGTGCGCCAATAACCTGCTCAAAGAACGACTAGCAGCAAGGTGCGCAACTTTAAACTTTGAAAAAGCTGAGCAGTTCGACTTAGTTTGCTAACAAAACCTTCGCCGGGGTGGCCAAAGTCTGACAGCTGAGGGTTCCAGCGACGTGATGACGTCTTTCCTGTCAGGTGCTACGCCTCATGGGAGGTGCAGTTTCCATGCGGTAAAATAACCAACCTCAAGTTTTGAAACTGGAGGGTGAATACGAATCCCAAAACTGTCACAGATTCACTCTGTAATTAAAAGAGTTCTGTTTTGACAGACCCTGTTTTAAGCTGTATGGGGTCATTAACTTATTCAGCTACAACATACTTTACCCCACAAATAATCACAATTTTAAATTAGTATTTTTAAAGATGTACTGGTTTGTCTCACAAATTATTACTTTAGTATAGGCTATACTTACGGGTGGTTTCCTAAAAAAACAAAACTGAATCTTTATGACAAACTTTTTTAAACTTTACGTTTTTCTGTAAGTTTTGGGACAAAAAAATATAAATAAGTAAAAAAATGAAAAAAAGGCTTAATCTTAAGACATATATAACATTTTGTAGCAGTAATATGGAAAGATGCAATTGGTAAATATGAATGTGGTAGTACACCTGTTAACTATACAACCAACCCATAGAGATTAAGAAGGAAAAAAACAAACAAAAAAAAAATCATGACATAAAGAGTTATCTAGAAACAATTTCTATTAACAAACAAAACTTTTATTTATTATTTGATTTACAAAAGAGAAAAACAGACATTTAAAATAAGTCAAATATTTTTGACTTTACTAAGTCTTACTTTAAAAGACAGATCAACACCTAAAATTTAAAATCTCATTGTCCTGTATGAGGCTATATATCTTTTTAAATTATTTTTTTGTTATCACAGACTGCTTGGGTTTTCAAAAAGCTAAAGAAAATACATATGTTAAAAATGCAAAGTAACTAAATCAACAAGCAATGTAAAATGGAAAAAATGTCTGTGCAGCAATCATCTTTCCAGTCTTGCAAGACAAACTACATCACATTAAAACCCTACAAAACATTTTGATATCTAAAATTCAAAGTGGTGCATAAATTACTGTACCAAATATCTCCCATGAACTACAAATCTATATTTGACAGCAAAGAAAATAACAATCCATACATGTAGCAGTGAATGTCAGTTTGTTTTTTCAAAGCAAAATACATATATGGCCTATTCAAACATGGGCAGCAACACAGATTCATAAATTCAAGGAAAAACTACTACTTACTGAAATACAACCTATATTTTATGTTGCTATTAGTAATTACGATGATAATCACAGTTTGTATTGCAGTTCAATTTTTTACTTTTTGCTATACAACTGGAAGACAAAAGAATGAAACAATGTTACAGAGTGAATTTCTGGAGCTGACACATACACACAGTGTGATATGAGTGTGTTTTGGAACATGTGCATGTGATTGTGTGGGCAGATAAGGGTTGGGTGAGATCACAAAAAAAAAATTCCTGTTTTTATTTCCTGGCAACAAGCAAGCTATGGTAAAGAGGTTTGATCACAACATGCAGATAGAGAGAGCTGTCAATTAGGTACTCTGATGCACGACGTTGAATGTCAGCATCCACCAAGAAATCCCCAGACTCCTCTGTACTTTGGTGGAAGTTGTACACATGGCGGACAATCACTTTTCCTTGTTGCTTTGCCATCACAATGATTGCTTTCTGGAAACTCACTCCAGCAAAGTCGGGGCTAGAGGTGGCCGGCGTTACGATGATGCGAGGTCGACCTCCCTCTGTGCGAGTGGGCTGCATGGAACCCAGCTCAGTGTAGGTGGATCTGGCACTGAGTGGGAGCCAGCGAGGGGAGAACAGGGCATTCCACGTCACTCTCTTGCTGGAGTCATGACCGCTGGGCCCAAGTTGGGTCTGGAAGCTGAAACTACGGTCATCACGTGTGGGGTTGTTGATGATCCAAGGAGTACCCCAAGATGAGGACAAATAGTTACGGGGAGTGAAGATACTACAGTTGACATCAAAGTACTTGGCTAGTTGAATCGGTGATGCAGAGTGGAACTGGAAAGCGAGATAGAGGAGATCACGGATGGCCTCATAATACTTCACCATGAGGGGTGAATGCCTCTGAAGACGAAAGAGATGTTGAGGAGGGATCATGCCGTACCGAACAGCTCTCAGGGCAGTCTCTACTGTTGAGCTAATTGGCTGGTTCTGGTTGATCCAGATCTCCAGCGCCTCGTAGAGCTCCAGCTCACTCTGCAGAATGAGGTCAGAGCGCTGGAGCAAGGACAGGAGCAGGTCTTCACTAATGGAGCCCCATTCTCCACTCTGCAGCACAGAGGACAGATTCCAGGACAGGTACTGCAGACAGCTGTCCCGCAGGGTTGCGTCCCCAATTTGCAGTGCATAGTTGTACCAGCTAACCACGTGGCCTGTGGGCGAATCACTGGAAAGATGTTGAGTCATATATTGGGTCAGGCCTTGCTGCAAGCCCCACACACGGTACTTGCTGGCCAACTTGTGCAGGGATATGGCTTGATCGAGGCGGAGTGAGATGTCACCGCAGTACAAATATCTGAATAAGACATATTTTTGAAAGTATTATTAGATAGAAACTATTTCTGTCAAGCACACTGCATTTTAGGAAACTTTTTCCACATTAGGTATTGTACAGTCACTTATGTGTGTATATTTATATTTTAAGAGGATAAAGTGCTTCCAATGACAATATATAGTTCTTTGCCATTGTGCTTTGTATTTGTTTAATTACAAAATGGTTTCAAAGCCTCAGCAGATGAAAAATAACATTAGATTAAAACAGTGAAGTTACTTGCAGTTAGTAAAGTATCCCGAAAGTTTACTCAAGTAAGAGTACTGATAATAATAATAATAATGCTAGTAAAAATGAAAACTTACAGTACCATAAAACTACTAATACATAGGTATTGTATTATAATCCATCTTGCAAAGGAGTAAGTTATATATGAGTAATTCTTTCTAGTTTGATTTTATTAATAGATTCATCTGTCCCATAATTTAAAAGATTACTGTACCATAACTACACATTTTACTGCTGATATAAAAATGATCCTCAAAGTCTAATCTAACTGTTGTGTCTCTACCCTACTGAGGCCCAGGTACTAAGTCAGTCCTTACCTGACAAACTTGTCAAAGACAGCTGCACACTCTGATGTTTCAATTAACACCAGAACACTGTTGTTGCGGCTGAGCAACAGCTCCTCAAACACGTCGCTCTGCAGGGTAAGGACCAGACTGTGGGCTTGGATCACCTTCACCTCATCAGTGTTCATGGTTTGCACCCGCAGGCTAACATCGCTACTGTTTCCCAAGGTCAGCAAGTTCTCCATGCGATGCACCAAATGCATGGAGTGATTCAGCACTGTGGCACCGTTGTCCAGGGCTGCCTCTTGCTTCAGGGGAGCTGTGCATGAAAAGGGGGATATAATTAGGGGGATGACTAGTTCACAACCAGGATCATTCCATTCTAAATTTGGATGTACCTTTTGTACTTAACAGTACCGCTTTAGTGGATTAAGCACATCTTTCTCTTGGATCTTCATATCTGGCACATCAATAATTGAAAAAGCACATCCTAATTCTTCAGCTGAGCCACAGCTGATGGTGTCTGCTAAGGAATGATTGGGCTTACACATGCTTTTCTTCACACACTCCTAGTTAATTGAGAAACAGAACAAGAAGCCAGGTGGCTGACTCAGAAAACCTCACATGCCAGGTGCACAGCCAAAAAGAACCCTGAGTTTGCAGCCCCTTTGCAGATGGCTGGTTTTATAGCCTGTCTTGGAACACAAGAAAAACCTGTGGAGAATCCCACATGAAAGAGTCAATGAAGTTTCCATTTGAGCAGCCTTGTTTGTCTCCTGCTAGGAGTTGAACAAGAGATAGGAGTGGCACATTTGACTCCCTTTAGAGTTCCCGATGTCCCACTACAATCAAGAATCCCAACTTCAAAGTCCCCTTTCTCCTTTATGCAAGATGAGCATGAAGTGGTGTGAGGATGTTCACTGTCAAATGTTTGAGACAGTCTGTCCCCCTGTAAACTAACTGAAGGCATTGTATTAGGCATACACAGCACATTTCATCTGTTATGTAATAAACTATTTTCACTTTCTGTGAGAAAACGTGAAATCTTCTCAGTAGGCACACCCACACACACAAACTTATTGATGAAATCTGCTCTGCTTGGTTCACTTAAGCAGCTCCCAGTGATGTAATTTGATTCAGGCTCATCCATAAATACTACAGTTACTCATTAAAACTAATCTGAAAGCTGCGTAGGATGACCTGCAGCAGTCTGTCAAAAATGATTTCCCCAGACAAGCAAGTACAGCCTGCAAAGTGTCTTTTATTGTTTTAATGCCAAGTGACAAATGAACTTCGATGATATAAGGATGAGCAGAACAGAATGAGCTGCATAAATAATTATTCATCAAGCCGCACACTCATGCTGTGCCCCCCTACCCAGTAACAGCATGGGTTAAGCGGGACTGAAATAGAACAATTCGCCTTCCTTAACAATGCAAGATATTTCTTTTACATTTTTGTTAAGTGACATAAAACCACTAAAACCATTTGTGATCTTACCTCCGCTGACTGTGACTGAGTGGAAGTGTAAAAAGAAGAGCACATAAACCCAGCAAGGAATCTTGTGTTCATATGAGCGCTCCATCTCTTCCCAGTTCTTCACTGTCTCTGCTTCTTTGTCCTTTCCCCTCTCCTCTCTGTCTCGGCGCCACTCTCCCACCGGCTGGATGTGCGCAGAAAGGTGTGCTGCCTGCTGTGTTGCCCAGCTCCCTGTCCTGGACTCTTTATGTAGGACGCTGGCCTTTCCCCTGGCGCATCTCTCACAACCCCGCGGACACCATTGATTGGTGGAATCGGGCAGGGGCGTTGCTATAGCGACAGCTTTGATTTTGAATCTCTCCCTTTTTGGATGTAACATGGCATTGATCAGTGGCACCGGGCCAGCCAAGGACTCAGCTTAATGTTTTTTTTTCTAAAGTGTGCTGGGGTTTGGCGCTATTAGGAATCAATAATAACCCATCTACCCATTTTAATGGTATGGACATGCTGCTGATCTCCACGCTACAGAACTTTAAAGTTAAGCACCATGAGTGCTTTAATTAGTTGGCTAATTTTCACAGAGGCCGCTGAGACAATCAGCCAAAAGTAATTGAGCCTTTAATATGTGTGACCAATGGCAGTCAGTGAAATTTCGCAATTCATCTCCAGCAGATTTTTAAGCCCTTATTTCTTGGACAGCTCATTAATCTTACTAATGTGAGAATAATTTATTTTACGCTCGGTCTATTCATTAATTTGAGGGAAGCTTTGTTTATCATGCAAGGGCAAGTCCAGATTGTTTCCCCTGAAGATTTAACTGATGTTGAAAGATTTGTTTATTCACAGAAAATGAAACAATTGCAGACATGCAAAATAAATAAATCTATTTTCAGCTGTATCTTTTTACTGAGCCAAAATGTGCTGGAAAATTTTATGTGGCATAAATAGTAGCACTATATAGACTTAACAATGTGCTGCTTTTCAGAGAGAATCATGACCTCCATTATAGTAAACATTAAAACTGATGATGACTGATGATGAAAGCGAGCTGTGCTTTTTAAGTGAACTGCACACCCCAGAATAACATCCAGCATTACAACTCTGCTTTAGGGTGACATAATGGTTTGATGTTTTATAGCTTAGCAATTCAAAAGGACAATTTAGCTCTTTCCAATACATATAACTGAAATAAATAAAGCATAAAAGTGCATTCCCTAAAATGACTGTGATAACTCCAGTATACAATGTAAGAGACAGGCAGGAAGTCAAAAGATATTTTTTATCTAATTATTAATTTTCTGGACAGTTTATGTAAAATCTGATAAACAAACAAAAAAAAAATAAATAAAATGTAGCTGGAATTGGGGTGTTGTGACAGCTATGTCACATCATGCAGTCAATATTAAAGAAATTGATTCTGCTCATTTTCTAAAATATTATTTTAGTCTTATAAAAGGTAAAATTAATACCAGTCTTTTTATCCAGTTAAAACTTGGAGCTGTTTGTGAAGACTGCACATCATCAGTACAACACTCTGTTAATCTACAAAACCTGCTTGCCTCTCTGTCAAGGTGGCACCGTGACTTCCTTACTTGGCAGGTCAGGCTGACTTCTATCTCGGTCACCACATTGGCCCTTCCCCAGAATACACAGGGAAAGGAAAAAGGTGGCTTATTTTGTGAAAGAGGATATTTTTATGTGAACTGCTAAAGAAACAAAGTTGGTCAAAGATCAGAATAACACTTTTCAGATATACCTGAATACGATAACATTACTTCAGACACATGAATCCAAGTCTGGCTGATCTCAGACACTTCTAACAACAACCAAACCAGTCAGGCCACTTTAAAATAAGAAGAAGCTTGTTGCAATTTCATCAGCATCCAGCCATCAGAAATCTGTCATTCAGTAATTAAATTATTTTAAACTCTGCTTAAAAAAAAAAGAAGCAAGAATAGAATTAGTATCTGTTAAAAAAATATGTCTTACCAGACAATTGGTCCCTTTATAGCTTCAACAAAAAAAAAGAACTGCAGAGGAAATATGTTTAAAATAGAGCTACCTACTTTGAGAAAGGACAGGGAGTTGTTTTTGGGCAATTTGGGTTGTGTTGATGCCCGGGGGCTGCTAGGCTGAAAATGCAGAACTGTCCTTTGAGACAACCTGAGCCACTGCTATGATTTCTTGCATGCATTCCCTAAGGAGAGCCTTTATGCAGCAACTTTAATGCCCTAATGAATCCTGCTGCAAAATAATAAGGCGGACAACTAAAAAAAAAAAGCACAAACTCACATCTGGCATCATGCAGCTGTCATAATTTAAGACAATTGATGCAGATGCATGCTGTACACATCTGCAAATGAAATGCCCTTCGCTAAGGTCACAGTGTTTTTTATCCCCCTCTCGCTCATACACCCCGGTAGGAATTTAATAGAACGACAATGCAAAAAGGATTGATTGACAAACTGCTGAATGTTTTCAGACCAACCCTCGGGATGAGATCCATTGAGAGATCAATGCCCTGCAGGAGGCCCCATCACGCAGTATAAACATGTTAAGTACAAGCCAAATGCCAGAGTAAAGGGGTTGGGAATGACCTCACTTGTGTGCCTGAGGGAATGCACTCGTTGACTTAATCTATAGAACATACTGAGCAAATGACTAAACCCGTTTAACAAATGTGTAGGAAACTTGTGTGCTTTTGTGTTTACAATGCATGGAAACAAAACACTATGAAGAAATATTTACCTTCTGTTTTGTCTTGTAGTGGATGTATTCTAGCTATCATTACGGAATAAATGTGAGTTAATTAAAACTGTGGAATACTATCTCATAATGTTGACTAATTATCATAAATATAGTAGCTAAATCATAATAACCGGGTGCTATCTTGAAATTAACAGGTCAGTTTTCTTTAAATATTGTATCAGCAAAAATGGACGTTCATGCCATACAACAGAATACCCAATAATAATAGACTTTTTACGGGTTTGAAAGCGAATGTGGGGTTGGACAACTTCCTGTGGCTATAGCGTTAGCATTAAAAGGCTAGGAAAATGGCTCAGTCTCGGCGCAGTTCTTTTTGTTCAGTCCCTTGTTGTTCATGTGGGGCAAGAAAACAGCCTTATCTGTCATAGCATGCGTTCCCGACGGACCCGGACCAACGGAGGCAGTGGATCCAGGCGATCCGAAGAGATGAAGGTCCGGGATTTTGCATAAAGACGGGGAGTACTTTCGTATGTAGCCGCCACTTCACACCGGAGGATTTTGTTAGCCGATCCACCACCAGCAGCCTTAAAAGTGGAGCTGTTCCTTCCCTGTTTGCCTGGAATAACTTCACTGCACCGGCAATGAGAGAGTCTGCTTTCGAGAGGGCTAAGAAACGGCAGTTTGTCCTCTCTGAGAAAGCTAGCCAGGCTGAAGATGCTACTGCGGACCATGACAACACGGCACATCCACCCGGGAGGTTGTGCGCATGCGCGGGGCCTGGGAGGTTGTGCGCATGCGCGGGGCCCAGGCGGATGTGGGGTTGGACAACTTCCGGTGGCTATAACGTTAGCATTGAAGGGCTAGGAAAATGGCTCAGTCTTGGCGCAGTTCTTTTTGTTCAGTCCCTGGTTGTTCGTGTGGGGCAAGAAAACAGCCGTATCAAGCGTTCCCGACGCCCCGGACCAACGGAGGCAGTGGATCCAGACGATCCGAAGAGATTAAAGGTCCGGACTTTTGCATAAAGACGGGGAGCACTTTCGTATGTAGCCGCCACTTCACACCGGAGGATTTTGTTAGCGGATCCACCACCAGCAGCCTTAAAAGTGGAGCTGTTCCTTTCCTGTTTGCCTGGAATAACTTCACTGCACCGGCAATGAGAGAGTCTGCTTTCGAGAGGGCTAAGAAACGGCAGTTTGTCCTCTATCAGAAAGCTAGCCAGGCTGAAGATGCTACTGTGGACCATGACTACACGGCACATCCACCCGCAGGTAAAAGACAGTACATTGTATATATTTTCCTTGGAAGAGAATTTCAGTAAAATATAACTGTTGCTATAATGATAATATTATTATTATGATCACATAATAATGAAATTATGAGATCATGTGGTTATGTATTTTGTGGAGAGAAGTTAAGTATACATAAATGCTCCGACTCACAACATGTATTGATCTTCACAGAAGTAACGTTTCAAATATATAATTACAACTTATTGCTAACCGTATGTTTTGATAATTTATTTTGTGGTTTTACAGGTGCACTTGATGAAGCTCTGGATTACAGTATATTAAGGAGTTGGAGGCCAGACTTCAAAAAGTGGATTTGTCTGCCACACTTTTTAGCCGCTACTGTGCCTCTGATGACCAGATCCGGTTCTACATCATATTTCCATTGAATGTGTGTTCCGGATCTTCTGGGAGTCCATTGCACCCTCTGCATCACGCCTGGTGTACTGGACCAGAGCACAGAAACTTGGAGAGGAAGCATGTGCTGAAGCCAGCCCTGCCCGCTGCATGCCTCTGATTGATGAGTTCCTGATGTACTCATTCAGGGTAGCAGTGGGCATGAAGGAGCAGCTCATTGCTAACATGATTCAAGTCAGCATAGCTACTGTCAGCCGAGTGACCATCACCTGGGCCTACTACCTCTTCATTGTGTTCTCTTCCATCAACCTGTGGATTAGTCATGAGAAGGTAAAAGCCAGTATGCCTCAGAAATTTCTGAAGTTCTCTCTAAATGTCCGTGTCACAGCAACATGCATTTTACAAAATCTTTTAAAGGGTTCTCACACAACTACTCAAATTTCAAATGTTTAACCTTTGGAAGTCAACAATCATCAGCGGTCTGGATGTAAAACAGGCCACAGTTTCCAGTCATAGGCCTGCAGCCTGTGAGCATGAGGCGAGAGGTGAGTGGTCCCATTGTTTCGATGTAAGCGGCCTCAAACAAATAAGTAGGCCGTTCCTAATCTCACAGAATATGCAAAGCTGCAAACACCACAGAGGTTGGATAAAAGAGCACCACAGAGGTTGGAGCTTAGTTGTTTGGAAAAGTATTGCATTTGCTGAATGCTACTCATTTGGAGCTGCTGCTTCACTGGGACCGGAGGTTAATCGATTATGATATGGATGGCTGATTGAGGAGTGGCACAGGGATGGATGGGTGGACGGAGAGCAGCGGAAAGCCAAATAAATGAACACCTGGAATCAAAGGAAGAAGTCAAACTATATTTCAGGTGAAACTCCAAAGGAAAACTACTAGAGGCATATTTCTTCATTCAAGCAAATTTTCCTTTTCTTGTATGAAGTTGGAGAGAGGATAAGCTTTTCTAATACTGGTGAGCATGTAACTTTATAATTCTGAATTCAGCGTTTTGTTTAAACATCATAATTTTATCAAGAAAAAAAAACATCTTTATTTGGTAGAGACTTGTTTTTCAAAGAGGCTTTGTTGTCAAAATTACCTGCCTGCCTTCAAAAAAAGTTAAATATCAAGTTACAATTTATTTATGCTTCATACTTTCAATATCTATGCATTTTTTGCCTGTAACATGTGACATTTACCCTTTAAGGCATATATGAAGTCAAGTGTATTTCTTGTTTTCTTAAGAAACTTGAATAAATAAGAATGCCATGAATGCCTTTTATTGGGCATAATTGTATATGGATAACACAGTATGACAATAATAACCTGGAATGTTTGAAAAGCTACAGCAATTTATCTGTAATGACAAAGTTATATTTGGGTAATATTTAATTTTTTCTGTTTTTGTTGCAGTGTTGCAAAAGTAAACCATTGGAGAAATGGGTTCAACCAGTGCTCCAAGAGGATGTGGTTCTAACATCAGCTCCATATATTACAACCTGTGTGACCTGACCACGCTGTGGGGTGTCGTGGTCGAGGCTGTGTCTGCTGCTGGTGTCATGACCTCCTTTATTCTGCTGGTAATTCTCATGGCATCACTACCATTTGTCACAGACAAGAAGAGAAAGGGTAT